TGCATCCAGAGCTTGGCTGACATCTCCCATGAGTAGCTGTCCCATTCCAAGGAGCATGGACAAGATCCAGCCCAGGGAAGCAGATGTTTTCAATTCCAGAACAGACCTTATCTAGAGCCCAGCCTTACAGCCACCAGAGTCCAGCTCAAGTTTACATTAAGCTGAGATATTTTCCCAGACTCAGTTCCAGGTGGTCACTGAAATCCAGGTCTCCTTTTTACTATGAGATTACTCATGGGATGAGCAATCCATTTGCTGTTTGAAACTAAATAGCCTTTCATACATGGCATCCCAGATAGCTGGGACAATCTGAGAAGGGATAATCAAAAAAGAGAACTGAGAATGACCTGATAAAAACAGCCAATTTCAAGAAGTAAGATTCTTTCAATAAAATCAGATGGTTAAGATAAAATTTTCTATTAAAAATATTTCTGGGGCTATAGAAATTTGTAACCAGGTGCATCTGAGCAGGATCCATCTCGGTTAATATTAGTAGTCAGGAAATGAGGCCTGGCCTAGACAATCCTCCAGGCTCTTTGCTGAGCCAATGGCACAGACATCTCCCCGAGGTAACACAACCCATTCGCCCTGGATAACTTTTGGGGATGAAATGGCTCACCTTGTACAGGCTAAACACACCTCAGGGTGACAGGTGGGGCCACCTGCACGGACCCAGAGAGGAGCAAAGGCACGGTCAAAGCAAGCAGCCAAAGCCTGTGAGAGGAACTCAGACAACACTCCACAATAATCCTCAGATATATTCAAAGACACAGGCTCAACAGAAAAACAAGATGATGAACTTGGTAAAAATTTTGTCTGCCCCAAAGACAAAGTAAAGCTGATACCATGAAAGGGCAGAGAGAGAACTGCAGCTTAAAGTAAAACCATGTGGATTATCTTAGTCAGAAGCTGCAGCCAGACATATTCAAATGAGCAGTTAAATGCTCAGAAGCCACAGGAATTACCTGTTAGCACTTTTCTGGAAGTTGTGTTGGCCACTCGTAACTAAATGGGCCTGAAGAATTCAGAGTACACGACACATCCCTTTGACCTCACATTTTTTTTTGAATCTATGAAAAAATGCTGATTTCCATGATTGGAATAGAAAGGCCAAGTGAGAAAAGGTATCCTCTGATAGATGCAGTTTCAATAAAGACATAAAAAACCACTTAAAAGAACTAAGAGCAAGAGGTATCATAAATAACAGTATTAACAGCATGTGAGTTGTAAGTAAAGATCCAACCAGTGTTTTTTAATACACCCTCTGAATATTATTTATTTAAAAGTGCTGTTCAGTACTTGTTCTACTCCCAGAGTTTTCCAACAGTTTAGAGTGGATGACATTCTCACTTAGATTGGAAGCCTGAGAGAATATATGGAAAATCATTAAGTTTTGCAGCAGACCAAAGAAAGAATCTATGGCTGAACTTAAAAAAAATAATAATAAATGATACTTCCAACAGAAGTGATCCATAATGGATGAGAGTTGAGTAAAAATGACTTAACTGCTGATCTAGGGGAAAATAAAAACAATAGCTGAAGTGTTTACTCCACACAGCAAAGCAGCTGGAAAGAGATAGATAGGGAAAATAAACTGATTTGGCAAAATTCATTCCCAATCTATACCTGATCAATAAGTGCTTGTGGAAATTGTTGGAATATGAGGCTGCTGGCATTCAGCAAAAGGACATTAATAGACATCTGAGTGGCTGCAATAATTTATTAACAGCATCATTTCAGAATCTCATGACTCGACAGAGGCCGTGGTGTTGGAAGCACCGCCCCGTGGAGGCACTGAGTGTCCACCAGACCTCTAAAGTCTTTTCCAAAAGTGCCCCTTGTCTGAGCTTGACACACCCTGGGGCTGGCAGGAAGCTGTGGTGACAGGGCACACAGTGGCACTGTGCCTGGGCACCGTCCTGGCCTGATTCATGGGGAAGAAGGAGGAAGGAAGGGCTCCAGGGCTGGAGTTTCACAGGAGGAGGGACAACAGAGATGCAAAAGTCCTTCTAAAACCAAACAGTCGTTCTGCTTCCAGCTCTCTTGGGAACCTCAAGGCTTCTCAGGCTCTGAACCACAAACAAATTCTCTGTTTCAAGCTGGTCCTTGGCTTTTCCCCTCTCACTACACCTCAAACTGCTGGAAAAGTATCCATGCAATGAAGAGCTGACACAGGGAATGCTGAACTAAGTGGCAAGTTAACCCCCCTGGGCTCTTATCAACACCCCTGAGTCATTTGGGCCAAGAATGAAAGGTGTTGGGGAATGATCACAAGGAAAGGCTTCATCTGAGCTTTTGGGACATCAGTGGGTAGTGGGGTTAATATTTATCTTTCTAAAGAGCAACAAGGAAAAAAAAGTACATTCCCTTTGCAGTTGCCAGTGATAATGGATGCTGTGTGAGCTAAAAACCCAGCAGTTAAAAGCTACATTTATTATCACTCTATCTCACACCAGCAAATTTATGATCCCTTCCAGACCTAAAACATCAAAGCAGAGCAGGAGTCAGAGCCTTTTCAGACTGTTAGAGGGTTTTTTTCCCTTCTTCTTCTTTTCACATAGATTGCTTTATTTATTTTTTAAAAGGAGGTGGGCATTAAAACCAAAATCTGACCTTTGATCCCCTGAGGCAACTCATTACTCACAAGGGCAAATAGGGAGCTGAAAGTTTTTCCTGCATGAAACCGTAAATAATTCTTACATACGTCCACAAATCACTCTAGGTTGGTAAAGTAAATAGTAATTGGTGGGTTTCTCCCTAGAGGCAGGTCTGAAGGGGGTTATAGATTAGAGTTAGGGATTTTTTGCTTGAAAAAAAACACTTTAAAAACCATGTTCCCCTCAGCTCAGTGCTCCAGATGCTCAGGTAATACATGAAGTTTTGGAGGGGTGTGTATGGCAGGGGTGTGGGGAGGGGAAGGGTTTGCTGTTTTTCTTATGTTTAGTAACTTCTCATGTTGGAATTTAAGAGATTCACAACTGTAAGGGCAAAGGGGAGCATTAAAATAAAAAAAATTAAATGCCACGTGTGCACAACAGCCTTTTCTGTGTGTTATCAACAAGGTTTAAAGAAAGAACCTTCTTCACAGCTCCTCCTGCAGCTCCACTGATTAGCTGGAAGGAGCAGCAGACTTGTCTCCCTGCTTTTTTAACATGTAACTACAGTCACACATTATCATCTTTCACTGTTGAATAAATTTTACCCAAAACATCTGAACTCTACCCAAGTTCAGAGGCCTTTCTGACCACCCCTACTATCAAAATTACTTTATTTAATAACAATCAGACACGAATATCTAAATAAAAGGAAAATATCCATGCTTGTTACTGGAATATAGTTGTTACAGCAGACCAGGGAATTGAGTGAGAAGTACTGCGCTGTTATCAACACCAGTGGAAATATTCCCATGCTGGAATCATCAGACCTGCCTGTCATCAAACCAGGATTGCCCAGCAATGCACTGTCACAGTGCAGGGATTTTCTCTGCTGGAAAGTCCTTTAAGAGCTTGCTAAGAGCAATCAAAGAAAAGCCATCAAATGCAGATTAATCCTGTGCAAAACACAGTAATCCCAGAAAAAGGGACGTGGAACTGTTACACTTTGAAGAGAGAGGTCAGAGCCACAAGGACAGAGAGAAAACCAGTGGGAAACTGGGTGTTTATAAACACAACTGACACGTTTCTACCTGCATGAAATGTCTGCAGCCACAGTTATTTGCAAGGAGAAAACTGGTCCCAAGCCTGGCTCTATTTCCAAGAAAAACAACAGGTCATAAATCTGGATTTAATAATTGAAACAAACGGCCTGACTCCCAGCCAGGCTGAGCCCAACGCAGAGAAAAAGCCTAAAATATTGATTAAGACATGGGATTTTTCTACCTGGCCTCTGACTTCTTTGAAACCTTCAAAGGCCAGTGCTAAAGCCACAGGGAGTTCTATCTTAGACAAGATCATGCTGGACATTTCTCGTGTTCACCTTCCAGCCTCCCCAGTCCCGAGATCTGAGGCCTTTGGTGCTCCAAGGGACCACCGAGGGCTCGCTGAGGACCCAGCAGATGTGCCAGTGCCAGGGGCAGGAGCTGCACTGCCCTCCTTCAAACCTGCCTCTCCAACTGCATCCCCTACCTCAGACACAACCAGGGAAAGGAGGTGTCAGGATCCCCCCCACTGAAACTCAGAGCAGAGGGAGCACTTGCTGTTCCCACCTCTCTGACCCACAGCTTTCCACGAGGGATTGACATCCTGGGGTGGGGCTGGCAAAGCCATCAGGAATCACAGGATCATTGAGGTTGGAAAAGACCCTCTGTGGCCATCAAGTCCAGCACTGCCAAGGTCACCACTAACCCATGTCCCCAAGTGCCACATCAACAGGCCCCCTCAAGGGATGGGGACTCCTGGGCAGCTGTGCCAGGGCTGGACAACCCTTTCAGTGAAGAAATTTTCCTCAGTATCCAACCCAAACATCCTCTGGCACAGCTGGAGGCCGTTTCCCCTCATCCTGTCCCTTGTTCCCTGGAAGCAGAGCCTGACCCCCCCCGGCTCCCCCCTCCTGTCAGGGGGTTGCAGAGCCAGAAGGTCCCCCCTGAGCCTCCTTTTCTCCAGGCTGAGCCCCCCCAGCTCCCTCAGCTGCTCCTGCTGCTCCAGCCCCTTCCCAGCTCCATTGCTTTTCCCTGGACTTCTGAAGTTGGTCCTGAATTGCTACAGTTCACACACAGAATTCCTAAGGTAAAACAAGCCAAGCATTGGTTTACTTTTAATAACCTGGGTTGAAAAATACCATCCATTCTGAGTGTGTTTCACAAGGAGTTCAGTCATCCCTCCTAAAATAATGACTATCCAGGCCTTTATTTTTTAACTATATAACAATAAAGTGATTTATTTTCAATCTCCCGGTGAATCAGGAAATTGTTGCTATTCCCAGACAGGGAACAGAGACAAAGGAAGATTAAACACCCAAATATCACACTAGAAGCCTTTGGCAGAGTAGGAAACTGAACTCACCCCTCCTTTCTGAAACGTAGCTCAGCTTCTTAGGCATCAGCCCATCACTCCAGCCCTCACGTGATGCAGACACACGTTCACCTTCTGCAGGGCTCCAAAGCACAAAGGCAGCAGCCAGTGAAAGATTCCTGCTGGCCCGGGCTCAGATCCTGTCTGGACTGAGGGAACAGGTTTCTGGTTTCAAAAGGAGCAGAGTTGAAGTTGCTTTCCTTCAGTTGCAACCTTTTTAACAAAACAGAGATTTTTCTCCAGCAAGTAAAGCCATAAATCAGGACATCTCCTGAGGTTCTTTTTTTTTTTTTCCCTCCTCTTTTTTTTTCCTAGTTAGTGTGCCCTCCCTCCCCTTTCCACCCCTCCAGACTTACTTCATAAACATTAGCTTTCAAGCATCTCTTTCCCCAGAGGACGTATCATAAACATCATGTTAAATATTTAGAACAGGAAACCACCTCACTTTTCTAGCTACATAAAAGCTATCTTGGGAGGGTGCATTTTCTGTTCTTATGGCTTTTATATATTTATTTCCTGGTGCAGATCATTCCAATAATCAGTACATTTGCCAGGGATGTTGGACAACAGTGTTAAGAAGTTCCCCAGCACCTGAGCAAAGGAAACTTTGCTACCAGACACTTCAGGGATAGGTAGAGCATCTCCTGCTCCATGTGGGAATTCCACAGGCCTTGGATAGGCACTGATGCAACTACAGAGCTGGGAAGAAGGACTCTAACAAACCTTGCAGCACTCCCATCGTCCTCTTTAACTTCCAACTTCCAGCTTGTTTTCCTTAACTCCTCCGAGTGTCCCCAGAAACCACCACGTTAACACACAGCAAAGACATTCAATAACAGCCAGGCACTAAACACCACTGAGCACCATAAACACTGGCAGTTCCAGGCTTGGTTCAAAGCCTGGAAGGAGTTGAAGGTATCTGGCACAAAAGGCTTTTTGACAGCTCTCCTGTGAAGTGCCTCGTGCCCTCGCCCTGCTTGGATTTGTTCATTCAGATCCAAGGCAAACTGTCCAGTCCCAGTTAAAGGCTGTCCCTTCCTCATCTGCAGCATCCTCCCACCCTCTCGTCCCTCTCACACACACGGCAGCACCTCGGGACTTTGGGCAATTCCAAACTCCAGCTCTCCCAAGTACAGCAATCCTCAGAACAAGAGGGAATGGCTTCAAACAGAGAGAGAGGAAGTTTAGGTTTGATGTTAGGAAAAAATTCTTTACTGTGAGGGTGGGGAGGCCCTGGCACAGGTTGCCCAGAGAAGCTGTGGCTGCCCCTGGATCCCTGGGAGTGTCCAAGGTCAGGTTGGATGGGGCTTGGAGCAACCTGGGCTAGTGGGAGGTGTCCCTGCCCAGGACAGGAGGTGGAACGAGATGGGCTTTAAAGTCTCTTCCAACCTAAACTGTTCTATGATTCCATGATTCTGTGGCTTCCAGGGCTGTTTGTTCTTCCCATTCCTCCTTCAGAAGGGTGGTGGCAGAGCCTGGGGCTCCTCAGGTGCACACACACCTTGGGCAGGTGCCTGCCCTGTGTGACGGGGCTGCAGTCGTGGCAGAGGCCCCCGGCTGGGAGCTGCCTGTGCTCAGGAAAAGCCTGAGCTCCATCCCTGGCTGTGTAAAACAGCACTTCCCTTTCTTTTCTGAGAGAGTGGGAGAGCCCAGAGAGACAGACATGCAGAGGGAACTCGGATGGAGAGCAGGCAGCTGGATGGTGTTGGCCTGGTCTGTTCCCTTGTGGGGCAGGGACTCTGCCACCTTCTAGGGCAGCACTGCCCCCCCCCCAACACTGACTGCCCCTGAAGTACTGCTGAGACCTTCACCACACACCCAAACCTTCAGCTACCCAGCTCTTTACACTCTTGGGAGACTCCACAGAACCAGCCTAGAGACAAACTCCCACACAGTGTGATCCTGTGGCCGTGCCCACCACATCACCCGGGGTTTTGTCCAGTCTCCCTTTGAAAACTCCCACTGGTACACACAGACTCCTCCAGCAGACAAATTCATATCCAGAAAAATCTCCCCTTTCCACATCTATTGACCATTCCCAGCTATCCTTGCAGCCTCTTACTGCTGTGTGCTGCTCATCTGAACCAAACCTGCTGGACTCAAAACCCTTCCCCAGAAGTTGGTCTCTGTAGACCTTTAACATTAATTTACTTTCTCCTAAGCTTCCAGATTTTGATAAGAGGCTGCCCAAAACGCAATGCAATAGTCCAAGCAGCCATCTAAAGTGCCAAAGCCACGGAGAAAAGAAAGCAATGATCAGTTCTGCAGCCCCCAAATTACTTTTTTTCTTTCACAGCACACTGCAAGGTCACAGTAATTCATTCTCCACCCTCACCCCCTTCATTCTGCCTGGCTGAAACTCAGTTCAGCTTCAGGGGGAGGCACTGCAAGGGTTTGGCAAACCATAATGTCCTGCCTCCAGTCCTATTTTGAAGATTTAAAAGGTGCAAAGGGCTTGATGTTGGCTTCTCAGATGTGGGCAACCCTCGCCCATTGTACATAGGTGAATCAAATTTTCGGTGATGCAAACTGGAAACGCCTGCCAAGTATGCACGCAGGAGAAAGAAAAACAAAGATCATAAAGATTTATAGGTTGCTTTAAAATGCATTCACCCTAAACCATGAGCTGCTCCAGCAAGCACTACCAACCTGGCTGAAAAGTTGTGCTTCACATGAGGGGCTCACTCTGCTGGAACGGGAGCCTTTGTGAAGATCGACAGAATTAACGAGCTAAAAACTTCGGGGTATTAGTTCAGTACCTCACAACAACGATAAAATTAAAAGTTTTATGCCTCTGATTTATACGTTTCAAATTAAGAAGGATATTTTAGGCTCTCAGGGCGTGTGGGAGCACAGTGGTCCGGAGCACAGTTATATTGGCTGGTTTCTGTGAGGTCCATGACTCTGCTGCTTCAACACAGATCCCTCCAAAAAGAGAAACCCGGCAGTGTAAAATGTCAGTTGTGCAAGGGTCTAGATCTGCTTTAACCAAACTCCAAGCTGAAACAGAGCTCAAAAAAAAAAAATCTCTTTCCAAGAACAAATCCCCTTGCCACAGTCCTATTGCTTCCTGCTTTTAGTTAGGCTAAAAATGAGGAGAAAAGGCAGCATTAAAAGCGTGTCCACTCCCAGTGAGGCAGAAGTGGGATCATGAGTAGAAGTGTGCGAAAATAAAACGGGCAAACATCAAAAAATAACAACAGATCATATTTTGTGATCAGTTTGTTTCGGGCAGGAAGGCTGAGGCTGGTTCTAATTTGAATCTAACCAGTTGGCCAGGCCCTACCTTATATATTATCTTTGGAATGTGAGTCATTTTGTTGGCTTAGTTATTTCTTCTTCTGTAACATGGCACTCCTGACTGCAGCGGTATGTGGGAGCTATTTTTATTGGGTAAGTAGTGAAAGGAAGTGATGGATAGAGCTGGTTGGGAACATTTCAACAAAACATTTTTTCAGTAGAATTTCCTAGTTGCTCCGGTGTGAAGTTCTTCACGCTGAAAGAGCCGGTTCCAGGGAATTTTTTTAATCTGAAAACGACACCGTAAAAAAAATTTTCCAAATAGCACATTTCGGTGCTTTCAAACAAAAGTGTTCGACTGCCTCGCCCGAAATTAGTTGATTTTGAAGTTAAAAGAGAAAAATTAAGCTGACATGTCACTGGAGAAAGACCAGCCAGGCCTGATGAAGGAGCCATCCCAAGCATGCAAAGCCAACTCTGTCCCCTGCACAAGAATGCACTTGATTATTTTCCCCTTTAGGTTTTGAGCTCTTGAAAATTTTCAAGGCTTTGGCTTTTCATCTCCCTTCAGAACAGTAGCTCCTTTTTCACGGCCCCTCCAAGAATTTCAGGAGCATCAAAACCTTCCACTGTTTTGTTTTTTTGGCAGAGCAAGCAGCACAGGGTGTGAGCAAGGCCTTGGGAAGGCAGAATCCTCGAACCACCTCCCGGTCGGGGTCATCCTGGTACTGCAGCGCGCTGTGGTGCGGTCAGATGGAGATGGTAAACCACATGCTGGAAACCTCCCAGTCCCAGGTGCCCACAAAAGCCAAAAATTAAAAGGGTGTATCCTCAATGGATGACCAGCCACTCCTGAGACCCTGCCTTTCCCTGCGGGCTTTTCGTAACAGCTTTCAAAAAGCAGGGCCAGCTACAACTTAAGCAAAGCTGGCCAGTGATCTAGGAAACTCTTCAATTATAGATGAGCACCAATAAACAGCCAGTGATTTGCTGGAAATTATGAAGTATAAATAATTGAGAAGCAGGGAGTTGGCCCAGAGGTACCCTTCTCTCTTGTTGATTCGTCTTAATGCATTTCCTTGATGCAGCTCCCTGCTGTGTTCCTAAGGAAGGCTGTGGGAGCAGCAGGATAATGGCCCTGGAAGAATATGCTGACCTGCTTGTGCAGAGTTGGAAATATCTGACCATCTCCCATGCTGAAAGGTGCAGCTGAGGAAAGGGGGTTAACCCAGCAAACCACATCGTCACCCCACTTCCCACATGGAAATCAGGAATTCCACCTGAGTACACAGGGATTCTCCAGTCCCAGAGGACAATGGTTTGACAGCAGTTGGTGTGGAAGGACTTCAGTCTGTATTTGGTTCTTCACGGGGTCCTTAAAGAGGAGATTTGATCAGTGCAGGGCAGGAAGCTGCCTGAGGATGCTCAGGGCTGTCCTGGGAGAGGAGGGAGTCAACTGTGGATATCCTGATCTTCCAGCCTGGATGGCTCTGGTCCACAATGGCTTTTCAAATATAGCCCCAAAATAGGGCAAGCAAGCCTCTCCTGGGGTCACAACTCTTGGGCAAGGCACGGGACAAACCCCAAATGCCAACTCTGCAGCTCAGCAGGAGCCCAAGACAGCAGCACCACAGAGAAGTCCCTCCCCAGGGGAACGGGGCTTCAGCCAGAGCTTCACCCTTAATGCAAAGGGAAAAAGTCCTTTGGGAAAACAGGTCAAAATTTTCACCTTTGAGACATTTCTGTGGAGTTTGTCAGAGGAGGAAGTTGTATTAAGAGAGGATAATTTCCTTCTGTGCTGCTGGGTCAGAGGTAATGAAAAAAGCCAAGTGGATGTACAGCAAGGCCCTCAAAGGGGCCCATAAAGAGCCAAGAACACCTCCCCCATGCTCCACCACGGATGACTCGA